ATTGAGCCTGCTTCTGCAAAAAATAGCTGTTCCATAGGTCTCTGTAGAGTGCAGGCGAGCTTTGCACTGACGCTTTTATTAGCGGACACTACGTACTCTAGCAAGAGTCTGCAGGGCCAGCCCATGCTTCTGAAATAGCAGACGTGAAAAAAAATTACTAGTTGTGTTGAAAATAGTAACTGAAAGCCAAAAAAAATATCTGGGAGCAAGTCAATACTGTGCTAGTAAATGAGAGAATGTGTGGAGAGTTTCCCCTGGTGCTGTCCAGAATATCATGAACTCAACAGGATCGTAGAGTTTTTCTTCATCTCCTATGTGGTGTTTTCCACTGAGTATATAGGAAAGATTATGCTCTTTTATATTGCAGATGTTTGTTTTTTTTTTTCTCTCTCTCTTCTCTCTCTCTCCCCAAGATAATTTAGCAAAATCTTTCTTCCAAAAGACCTCCTCAAAAAATTATTATTAATACATACATTTCTAATCTTTAAATTATTGTATTGAGTGGAAAAAATGAACAGCATGCAAGTTAAACACTGTGTGGGATAAATGCTATTTAAATCTTGTCTAAGCTGTTAAACATCGCACTAACATTGGATCACTGGATTTAATCCAGTAAAAATAAAAAAAAAAAGAGGAGGTCACATTAGAGAACTAAACCATCTGTCCAGTGTGGAATTGAAAGGCATTTATAATGAATTACTTTTCTATATTACTGTCTTTTGGGGGGCCTTCCTGTGAATCAAAGAGATGTTACAAGACTGTTTATGTACAAAGATGGTTCCTGAATTATTTCTAGCTTGTCAACCTGATGTTTTAGTATGAAACTTCTCATTTAGCATTTTGCATAACTACTTAGTCCCTTATAAACAATATTTTCTAACTGTCTTCAAGAGTGTCCTAGGAATTGTTCCTCTAATACAGACTAAAGGATTTATGTATACACTTCTTGGCAAGGTGGCAGGGACGTTTTCAAAGAATATTTCTGTTGCCTTATTCTAGTGTTGATTTTTCTGCATGTTCATAACAAGACTTCATTTGGACTGTAACATTTCAAATTCATTTTAGTCTTTGCTAATGTTCATGAAGTAGATTGTTGTGTTTTGACTTTTGTGGTATTAATATAGCATGTTTGTAGAAAAAGTATTCTGCTACATTAAAATGAAAATAACGATTTCTAGTGTTGACAGCCTTGGAGAGCATCTGATGTCAGGTCTGATCTTCCTAGTTGGTTCTGTTGCACATTCAGATGCATATCCCTGAATGATACTATTTATCATTTTTAAAATAAAGATTTTCTGTCAAAATACAATTTTAAAACCTCCTTAAAATTATGAATCTGTGTCATGAAGGAGAGAAGGATGAGAAAAAATGGAAGAGGGAAGTTGGTACAAACCTGTTATTAAAGCTTCTTTAAAAATCTTCCCACTGACCAGTAAAATTACATTAGCAAAACTGCTTTAGTATTTGATGGGATTTAATGATCGGAAGTCCTGTTGGTCAAGTCTGTTCTTTTCTGATTAGGGTGCGTACAGGTCTGGATTAGGATAGAGGTTTTCATGAAGTTACTTGCAGCTTTTTTGAATAGAATGGGATTAATTTAGGATGTTGCAATTATAAGGAGTTACTGTATTGTCTTTTGAGGCCCAGAAGAATAAGTAAGATGAAATTCTGTCTATAGAGAGTTGAAATACTGTGCTGTGATCGAATACGTAGACTACTGAGTATGATCTTTTGTGTTGTTTGCAATCTGTCATCAGACCTTTTTGAGCATCTTTTGCATGGTGGAGAAGCTATGGAGAGGGAGTTTGTCTAGACACTATTCAACCCATCGTAGGTGGAATAATGCCTGTTCCAGGACAAGAGAGGAAGCCAGTACCATGTAATTTCAGCTCGTATCTAATTCTGAGAATTCCATGAATTTTTGTTTTCTTAAGCTTAAGATATGCTGAACGTTTGAGCACATCTATTTCCGTTTGCTTTTCCATGCTTTGCGTTATTTCTCCTGGGTTAGTAAATGCTTGTTCCAACCAGCATCTTTTGTAAGTAGGAGAAAACTGAGATATGGTAAGTACGGTAAAAGTTACAAGTGCTTATTCGCAAAGTAAAATTAGACTTCTCTCCATCCTTAAGTGCTACGCTTCTCTGAGACTGTGTAAGAGGTTCTGTAACATAAATAGGAACTATCATATTTTTGAGCTAAAACTGATTGGATAGAGATGCGTAAATTGTGACTCTGCTTATTTTGGCACTAAATTAATGTATTTCAGTTCTGTAAAATAAGTTCCAGACAGCAGCTTTTTCTCTGACCCTCTTTCCACACAGCCTCAGGAGTGCACTTTATCTTGTCTTTATCATATGTTCTTCAGTTTTCTCTAAAGTCATCAACAGTTACACTTTTACATTACTCTGCTGCATCTGATTTATCATATCCATCCCTTTGCAAGATGTTTTACCAGATGTCCTCTCTGAAGGGCATATCTATAGAAGAATTTTGCCTGAGATTAGTTTGTTTGTAATTTTATACTTGAGGCCACCATGTAGTCAGGCTAATTTAGTAGTTATATCTGCATCTTTGAAGAATCTTTCTGTTCTGATACATCCCCAGGAAACCCTGATAGCTACTTGAAAAAAGGCAACGGGGCAAAACAATCAATGCTCTTTTATCATACTGGTCCTGGATTTTCTTTGGCATCCTCTTGACTGGGAAGAGATGGAAAAGACTGCCTATGTGGATGGTGCTGATGATAGAGTCGTTGAGCCTTGCCAAAGTCAAATATTGTATTTCCTTAAGTGTGTGGTTTTAATTTTCTTTTTTTGTCAACTGACTTATGAAGAGTGGTACAAAATCAACAGGCTTCTAAGCCCAAGGTACCTTAGTAACTTATGTTTAAGTTCTTTCAGGAGCTGGTTAGTACAAATTAGAAGATTTCTGGTTTGCTGTACATGTGATTTCACTTAAAGGAAAGAATCTTCACACGCTCCCTGTGAATTTCCTGTTCTGCCTTATACTGCTCAGGTAGTAGTAGGTGGCAGTTGGGTTTGAGTCAAGTTTTTTAAGAGGTCAAGACAGTTTTTACATTTAAAAAATAATCAGATGTAAGAAAGAGTTGAAGAATTGGTTACCTCCAACCAGCCTGGATCACACTTTCAAAGAATAAATATACATGTCCCCTGTGATTTCTCAGAAGGACCCAAGCAGATTAAATGCCCAAATCCAAATGTTTATATGATTTAAAATTACTTGAATTTTCCTTCCTTAATGCATATAGACTGTGCCAGTGTGTAAGCAGACCTTGTTTTATGCAACTTCATATTTTGATTAGTTTTAACTTATTATTGCCCAAAGCTTGGAAAATTAGAAATCTTAAGTTATGCAATAATCTGCATCGTAGTCTGCAAGGGTATAAGACACGTTCCTAACCATATACTAATCAAGAAACACAGAATCTCTCCTTGCCTCTTTCTCGGTCGGTCATCTCTATTCACGCATAAGCGATAGCTTCATTTATTTGTGGAGTCTGGAATAATTGTATTTACGAAACAGTATAAATTTTCATGCTGTATTAAAAAAAAAAAGTATAGGATTCAGTAATGTTTAAAATAAGGTGCGTACCATCGATGTGTAGCTTACTTATCCTAAAGCGCTGTCTTACGTGCCTCCTCTTTCACCGTGCCATGGAAGTTCTTGGCTTATGAATGTTTTGACTTTGCTCTAATGAGTCATTCATGTGAACAGGGAAACTTTCTTCTGCACAATGAGAAGTGTGGATTAAGATTTTTACGCACAATTGTCATCAGTAATTCCATTCTTTTGTTACTTTTAAAAGTGCTCTGACTTTACCAGCTGTGTAAGTGTAGCTTTACTCTATTTTCTGATGATTTTTAATCCCTTGCAAAATAGTAACTGGAGCATAGCGCCTCATGGAAGAGCAAGAATTCAACGGGTTTTGCCTTTATTTAAGCAGGTTAAAGGGAAATAATATTTTTCAGTTTTATTGTTAATCTAACAGGGGCAACTGATTTTTCCAACATGTTTCTTCAGAGCACACGTCGGCTAGCATGAAAACAGTTTTATCAATAAATTCATTCGTGGATCTGATCAAGTTGCAGAGTTTGTAGATGCGTATGATAACAAGGCAGCAGTGCCCCTCCCTTCTTCTGCGTACTTCAGGAGAGCTGTACCGGGGGACAGATTAGGGCACAGATGATGCAGACGGTCTTGTAAATTCTGCTAAAGCAAATACCATGTATTTTAATGTGTCCGGAGGAATGGCTGAAGGATGCGACACGTGCCCATGGGATGCGGTGATGTGTCCTGGGAAACAAGGTCTCTGAAAGGAAGTTTTTGCTATTAATGGATGTCAGCTCTTAATAAAATACCAAGGAACCAAGACAAATGTGTGCCGGCTTGCTTTGGCCTGCATAAGCAGAGGGATTATAGCCAGCAGAAAGGATGTTATTTTATCTCTGTGTTTGATCATCCCAGAGAAACTCCTGGAAAGTACTAACCAATTTCAGAGTCACCAGTGCATGAAGTAAATTGGAAAGATCCAGAAAAAAACCCAACAACTAAGAATAGTCTGAAGACTTTGAGAAAACCTCTGTTTAGCTTATCAAAGAGAGGGTAAGGAGGTGACAACCTCTGAATTCCTATGCTGGCAGAGTGATTTTGATAATGTATCCTTTGACCCCCTGAGGCAAAAGTATAGAAATAGGATGCCAAGAGTTTGAGGCTGACAGATTTGGACTAAAAATTAAGTGAGTAGGTGTTTTTAAGGGCAAAGTAATTAATTTTTAAACCAACATACATTGGGCTTTGGTAAGTTTCTTCTTATCAATAACTTTTTGAATTATGCTTACGTGCATTTTTGAAGAATATTCAGGTATTGGAGAGAAATTAATTCAGGAAAGTCCTGTGGACATTGTTAAAAAGGAGTAATAATCTGAGTCTATGGCAAGGAGCGTGTGTGTTAATTCTGTCGTTTTGGTTGGTTTGGTAGATACGTCGATGATGTGATCAATCGCATTGATAGGATGTTCCCTGAAATGTCTATCCAGCTATCCCGGCCAAATGGAACCTCGGCAATGCTTCTGGTAAGTTAGACCATTTAATCCCTTGAGATGGATTTCTTGAGGGGTTGAACTGCTGTTCCTAAAATGCAGGTTATTAATGCTGAATTTTTTTCAGAAACATACTGTTCTTCATTTGTCACAGCAATGTAGGATCTTCCTTGATCTTAGGCAAATGAGCAATAACAAGAATTTCACCTTTAAACGAAGGATCTATTACTTTTTGTTGTTAAATGTGATTGTAGAAATATGAGTGCAAACTCAAATATTCACTGTGTTTTTCAGCAGTCTTAGCAATGAGTTAGTCTTAATCATGATAATTAAGAAGGAAAGGAGTGGCAGGAGGAAGAAAAGAAGAAGGAAACCAATATGATTTAAATTTGTTCAAATTGTTCTTGGGTCGGTGAATTTCTGTTATATGATGAAGTCAAGAATTTGCCTTTGAAGTAAATGAGCAGTAAAGGCTGGATTAGAGATAAACAAGTCTAATACATTCGACTTATTTCTGCCTGACCAAGCAAGATTTCATTCCAGAAGAACCTATTGTTCACATCAATTTTCGCAGGCAGCTGTTGTGCTTATAGCAGAAGTCTTTAAAGCTTTTACTTAAGACAGCAATATGGAAGCAGAGACTGTAGCGAAGGAGTTGGATGCTGATTTTCCTCTAGTAGGGTGAAAGGCAGAAGTCGTATCTTTCACCAAAGTTTAAATAAGACTAGAAAATATACTGTATACCCAGGTGAAGAACTGAGACCAGATCAGTCTTCTCCATCTCAGATTTGTCATGGCACTTCCTCTTGTTTTTCCTTTCTCACATAGGCTATTACAAAAGGGTTGGGTGTAGTGTACATGTAAATATATTTCTGGTTTTCAAGCAAATGGTAAAATGAATCGGAAAGTAAGATATTTTGTCAAAACAAAATCGTTGAGTCAATATAAGTCAATGTTAGGGTTGTTCCTTAGATTTTTATATCGGATTTAGAGTTTGTTGACTTTAAAAGACTATTACGGTTAGATTTTTGTCTGTATTTTTCAAAGGTTCTGTTAATTTCTCTATAATCAGTAGAGCTGTAATTATGTTTAGTTTTAATTAATCAACTGTCTAGCATCCCATTATTAACTTTCTTTGAACAGCCCCAAATTTGCAAGAGATTAACTGAGTCAGAGGTTAAAATAAACAGCTGGCATTAAAACATTTAATCTGCAATTGTTGGATTCACCGAGTGGAACAATATATTCCAGAAAAGAATTGAATTAATCAGTGTTGTCTTAAGAAGCTATAAGTCTTGGAAGCTTTTGCATTTCCTCTTAAGATGACTTTATATTTAACTATTTTGCGAAGAAAAAATGTCTGGTTTTACTTCCTTACTTTGAAATCCTTTTCCATTCTCTTGGAGTCCCTCTTTGCCTATAGTAAGTACCTTTCACTTCTAAGGGCTTTTTGAGGTCAGAAAATAGTTGATGCTTTTCAAGATTCACACACAATTAGGAAATTAAGTAAATTATCCTGGATGTGACTGATAAGGAAGTAAGGTAGGGTGGACGGGTGGTAACTGTAAGAGAAGCCCGTTTTACAAGCAGTAGTAATTTAGTGAATTCCATGTTGCAGTTGCTCTCTAAATCAAGGACATTATTGGTGCTACAAGATAGCAGCCCTTTATTGAACCAGTGGTATGCATATTTTCCTTGGATCAGAGATCAAAAAGATTGTTTTTAAAGTATTTTTGTATGTGATTGTGTGATGGGTTTATCATTTTTTCTTTTAGGCAGGTTTTCCCTCTTTCCCATCTGTCTCAGTTGATGTTGCCAATATGGCACTTTCCATCTGGCCCTGACTGCTACAAAAGCTTTTGCTGTTTTCAGCCACAAATCATTCAGTGAAAGGTGCTGCGGGATGGGCAGTGTGAAGAGCACCTCCCCCAGAAGAAGGGAGGGGTTTTCAGTACTTGTGATTTCTCACTCTGAACTTCTCCCAAGTTAGATTTGGAGTTGCTCCCTTGCAGCAGCGTGGTTTACCACAATACTAAAGGATTCAGATAATGCTTATTTTATTTTAAAGTATTTCACAACCGTACTGTTTACCCAGAGTTAATTAACTACTGTATAATCTCAACCATTTTCATCCTTGGACTGTTCACATCATACCTGCCATTGCTTATGAAGGTCTTTGGCACAGAGGCCTAGTTGTTATAATAAAACATCTTCAGACACAATCATTCCATTTACCAGAAAAAGCATGTATTCATCTTCAAGGGCACTGGTAAGCACTATACATATTTTAAGAATGTGCAAATGATTGGAAGGAGACGGGGAAGAAGGGGAAGGGAGCGCCTGTGAGATTCTTTGAAACTTCAGAATAGCTGGAGACTTTGCTGAACAAATAGTCTTGAGGAAAAAGACCTAATACAGAAAGTTTCAGCCTCAGACTCTACAACTTCATGTGCACATGGAAATCAGCTTATGGCCTTAGCTGTAGAGGTGGGACTTCCATGGTCTCAGATTCATCCAGTGTTTCAAGAAGAGTAATTAGCAGCCGTGTGAGCCTGCTGGTCAAACTCTTCTGGCGAGCAACCTTTGTGTTAAGCTGGGTTCTCCCTAACCAGGGTACAGCTTTCACAGAAGCTGAGAACTTTAAGCAAAGAGAAAAAGAAACTATTCCTGAGAGCGTAAATGCTGTGTCTTGAAAGGTTTCTACCTCCTATGGTCCTTTGAGGTTACTGTTTCCTTCAGACAAAAAGGAGCTTTTTATACTTTAGATTTATACACAGCAATTGTACCTCATTAGTCTGGATTTATGCTACACAGACCAAACACATAAATAATTGAAACCTTTCAGAGCTGTGTGAAATCCTCAACTGATTTTAAAAGCAGTTTATCATGGCATTTCAAGGTGCTGTTTAATCCCAATCTTCACTAGTGATTTTTCAATTAATCTTTTAATCACACTATGCATAAAAAAGACTAAACATAGAATTGTATCGGCTTTAATAACAGCGTTATGCAAAATTAATTTCCAGCAGCAGCAGAGGGAACGGCAGACTCCTTAAGGTTTTTGTGAGATTTTGTTGGTCAAATGCCAGGAATTGTAAATAGATAAACCTCATCTCACATGTTAAGAAAACATGAATTGATTTTTAATTAATGAAAAATACCTAGATTTTTGCTTGGTTTGAATGATTAGTTGTATTCCTAGATATACATTCTTTTTTCTAATAAAATAACTTGATGGTGTGATTGTTACACGATTGTTTCGCACACTTTGTTTCTGTTATCAACATTCAGAATTTTTTTTTTTTCAGTGTGAAACACTTAATTCCTGTGTACAATTCATTCATTCATTAATACCAGAAACATTTTAGAAAACAGTAAACATTAGCCACACTTTTCCAGCTGACAAATAACAGCTTCCCTAGGGTCATGTACCTAGCCAGTCCTAGTCAGGTGTAGAAACTTATTTTCTTGTCTTCATCTGGGAACTACTTTGTCTTTAAAACTTTATCTCCCCAGTGTTTGTAAAGCTATATAAAAGCACTACTATAGAAGTTATAAACACTGGGTAAATATTTTTACAGCTAATTGAATAGTTTTCTGTAATTTTAGCTGTTTCTAAGGATAATGGTATGTATAACTAACTTACAGTTTGAAAAATTGAATTATTTCTGCCAAACCAATGCTCGTGGCAGAAATAATGATTTCTTCTTTTTGTATTATCTTACAAATGTTTGATGATAAATTACTTTAATAAATTTATACTGATGCTTAGATTTTTACTAGCTCTTTCTATAAAAATATTAAACCTGTTTTTATACAATTTTATTTATTCTTCATAAAATCAGACACATTTGCATTTCAACTTTCAAGTCTTGTTCCAAGCATTTTAAACAGTCTGATTGTATGGAAGTGGGCTGTATTAATTGCAAATAGGCTAGACATCTGTTCCCTAAAACTGAATAATTTCTTGTGTCTCATTTTTGTTCATCGATGTTTTACATAAAGTCATTATTATTTTCTGTTGGAAAACTGGATTCTGAAATTTATTATTTGCCCATTAAGAAAGGCCACCAAACTGATTTTTGTTCAAGAGACCCTGATCTAGAAGAATTGGGGAGGGGGGGAGGAATTTGCTAAGTGATTTGAAATTGGTATTGATGTTATACTTGATAGGAAACAATTTCATGCTGTTCTTTTCAAAACAATCTCTTTTCACCAGCGTGCTTTGCAGGCTAAGTGTTCCTCCTGACCAGGCTGGTGGTTCATTAGTAAGGTAGTGTACCATAGGCACTGGGTAGAGGTAGGCAGTTTTGTGTTAGGGATGGATTTGATGATCACATTTGGTGGCTTAGGGACCTAATTTTAGGCACATAAGATGAACATTAATTTAGGGCTTTGCTCTCTTGGAGGCACTAGCTGGGGTTTGGTGTTTCATGGAGCTACTGGGACATCTAAGGATCTCTTGTGTGAGCTGGATCTTGAGGAATCACTTCTGAGCTCATAGTGGGAATGTTGTGACTGTTTGCCATCACAGTTTGCTTCTTAAGATTGAGAACCAGCATTTTAAAAGCATTAAGGCAGCATTTGAGGTCACACATGTGGAGGAAGAACATCTCGAATCAGCAAAGTATGTGAGCAGGGGGTGACAAGTAAATTGTAAATTATTCTCTGTTTGTCTAATAAAAGGATGAGGAAGATGCGGAAGGATCTTTTGATGGGAAAGTGAGCAAGAATAGTAAAAGTAGAGGAAGACCAGCAAGAAATGTCCCCAGCTTTGCTCCCTCCACAGGGTTACTGTGCCCCAGGGTTGCTGCCCAGCCCCAAAGGCTCACAGGTCTGTGTTGATATTCCCACAGATTCATATTCTGCAAGATCAGACATCTTTTTCATCCCTCTAAAATTCCTGGTGTGCTGTCATTTAGAATGGAAAGAGAGACAGAATCCGTTTCATCATCCGTAGCAATGCTGGACTAGGGTGACCCTTCCCTAAGCGTGACTGGCCACTGGCAAAATCTCTCTTTTAACCTTTGAAT